CAATATACATTTGTGGAGAAACTCACAAAAGCTGAAATTCTAAATAATTTACACCTGATGGTACCTATTCATAGATCGGAGCCTGCATGTCCCAGAGGAAGTTGTGGCTATTCAGAAGGTTAACGTCTTGGCATAGAGCTGATTAGATCCGCCCCCAGTAACTGAATTTAATTCCAATAAGTAACCAGTATCATGTTCAATTTCTCACGTTTATAACAAACCAAATTTCATGAAAATCGGTTCAGAATTAAGCAAGTTAGTCGATTTTGTAGAGAAATCTGCATCTCTCAATACACATTGTTTACTAGCGAATCTTGACCGCTCCAATATGGCGACCATGCAGACGCATAGCGGCGACATACAGCAGCGACCAATGAGGTATCTACGTTTCTATATCTACGGGTGTAGCCATGCTGTCGATCCAAGTCAAACCCACCAATAGAAACTCTTCTCTCATTCGTCAGCGTAGATCCCGCCCATTACATCCAGTTCAACTTGCAAGCAAAACTTTTTGACTCGTAAAACTTTTTGACTTGCAAAACCTTTTGACCTGCAAGCAAAACTTTTGACTCGCAACCAAAGAGGACTGATTCGCAATCAAAACTTTTTGCAATGCAAACAAGACAAATTTGATTTTTGATTGCAGTGTGAGAAATTTGCTCTCAAAACGGTCTTTTATGCTTGCATTAAAAAGACACAAAAATACCCTCATAAATGCTAACTGAAAACTATGAGAAGCTTCATAATGCTTGGAGTAATCCAATTTGCGACAGATTTGGTGCTCAATTGAAATTTCAGCCAAACCATTCAAACGATTTTGTGACATTGTCAATTGCAGATAGTTCTTTACAAGTTTGAGACACGAAAAACTCCTCTCTCCTGATGCCACGGTTACCGGCACAGTTAACAATAAGTGCAAGGCAACGCTAAAATTTGGGTACAAATCCAAAACATTTTCCCGGTGGATGTACCTATGTGTGTCAATGGGTGAATCAACCGTTACCACTGCTCAGAGTATGAAAATGTTCAAAGCCATCAATTATTCAATGATCATGCTCTTAATTTTTGCAAAGCTCGTCATGGTGCAGCACCCCCTAGTGGTCTGGCGCCCTGGGCAATTGCCCAGTTTGCCCAGCACTTCCGCCGGCCCTGCATATACTCCAAGTGCTATTTATGGATTGCCAGTCATAAATTCAGAGTTCTCCACTGAGAGCTCTGAGAACACTCTGGATACTCTTATACTGAAGGGTCGTTGAACTGCAGAGTCAGCTCGCCAGAGCATTGTACTTACAAAACTACAGGTAAAATAATGGTTGCACCTGACAAATGTGGCCTGATAGACACTTGTCATACAGACGAAGAGAATATACCACACTATTGCGAGGTGTCTCACCTGAAGGGACGACAGCGCCACCGCTCCACACAGGCAAATGAGGGGGTAGATGGGGAAGAGGAAGCGCTCCTCTTTGTGGGGTCTTGTGAAGAACACCAGCATCCACAGGTACAGGGGGGAGAGGGTGAGCCAGTAGGGCCGGCCCAGGTTCTGTACTGCAGGGACAGAGACACAGGGGACAGGCCCTTTGGGTCAAATGCCCTGCACTTCAGCTACACCCCTTCTTACAGCAAGGAAGGATCCCGTAATGGGTGGGGCTTCCATGCACTGTCAACTCCTGACTTCTATGAACTAGCCCAAAGACTATGCTCTGTAGCAAAACATTATGACTGGCTGTAATCAGCAAGTCACTGATGACACATGATAGCCCCAACCATTATAGGGTTCATGGGGCATCCCTCTCCCATCACTACCTTAAATATCTCCCACAGGCGGCTGTTCTAAATCCACGCCTTCCCTACAAATCACTGGCTGCAAGTCTTTAGGAGAGGGGGTTAAGGGAAGAGAATGACAATTAGGTCACAGTTTGAGATCCTGGGTGATAAATATCCTGGGTAAGCTTGGGTGATAAATTGTTCAATTCACGTTTTAAACATTGAACATTTAAATTGCTGGATATCAATTGATATTAATTGGTATTAATATCCAGCAATATACATGTTTGATGTCTGAAACATGAGTTGTACAACTCGTTCTGGTTGAAGGCAACACAAGCAAATGAATACAACCCAATGAAAAGCAACACCTGCTGCCACAAAATTTGGCATCTAGCCAAAAGGAAAGAAACATTAAATGCAGCCTCTGGGAGAGGTCAATGATGTACACCGGAGTCTGCAGGTTGAAAACCGCAGTCACCCACTGCTTTTTTCACAATCTACACGGGAGAAGCATATTCTGAGATCGTAATGCTGGTGAGATTCTTTGAGCTGCCGTTGTAAGTTCAGGTTTAATAGCCCATAAAGGATTTCACATATTGTGGTGTGAATTAGCATACAGAGCACAGCAAATGAACAGACCCCAAAGGGCTCAAATAGCTCCAACTATAACGCCTTGTATCCAATCTACAGCCACAGGCTTGTAAAATAAGCAGCTCTTAGTGGGATACTACTGAATGTGTTTTAAATGTGTGCAGGAACAAGACATTCATCTCTAGCAAAAACCAGCTGGTGTTATATTCGATTCGATCATGCAGCTCAGCAGCACAGAGTGTTTAATAACCTTCAATGTAGTCTTTGCATCTGAGTGCAAACCCATTAGAGGATGCGTGTATTCATGCAGAGACCCAATGTTCTCTCCATGTGGCATGCTGGCCTTTGTTTATGACAGGAAACAACAGCACTCTGCTTGGAATAATGAGAATAAAAAAGTGCTGGACAGTCACACACATACATACACACACGTGTGCACACATAATGCCAAGATAGTGAAATGCACACATAATGCAGCAATATGCCCAGGTATATGCCCACACACACACACACACACACACACACACAAGGTAGCAGGGTGCTCACTCACCATTGAACCTCTGCAGCAGGGTCTCCATCAGCGCAGTGAGAGGCAGGGAGAGCAGAGCCAGGATGAAGACAATGTTAAAGTTGAGGAAGCCATTGACAAAATAGTACTGCCAGGGCTCTGTGCCTGCATTCACCATAAAACACACAGACACACAAACACATATACATGTTCACTTTGTGCCCAGCCATGTTCACAAGAGAGAAATGATGAGTAATGATAGCCAAAAACTGCCCCCATGTTGACATTCTCAGAAACTGCAGACATCTTTACTTGGGGCAGCTTCAAGGACAATGCCTGTCACTTGGTTAGTACCAGGACTGTGAATGAACAAACCACATTTGTCAAGACAGCAAGAAAAAAAATGTTTTTGAAATTTCTACTGGTCATTTCCCTTTTCTCCATTTTCTTCAAATTTGGAACACCCAACTGTATAATTAGAAGGCAGCTCTTTGCTATGACCACCAATAACAACCCAGGAGAGCGCAGACACTTCGTCTCACAATGCAGTATACAAGCTGAGCTAGCAGAGACATGCATCAGAAGAACACACTTCAATACAGCTTTATACAGGCAGACTGAGGGCACCCAATTGCCCAGCAGGTGTCACTCCTGTGCAACCACAAAGACAAACCCTGTCTGACCTCCACTACCCTACCCCCAGCAGAACGAAGCCAGTTTATACCACTGGGGATTCCTGGCAATTATCGGCTGATGATGCAGCAGGGATTGGGCCCAGGCCATTCGCAGAGCTCAGCTTGCATTCAAAGCAAACGCCTTGACCACTGACTGCCACTGCTCAATAGTTCTGGTAATAAAACTGAGCAGAAGGTCACATTACAGTGCAAAACCCTCACTGGAACCTAAGATAAGGAGAATAAAAATCCGTACCATACAGGTCTGGCCCATGGGGGGTAAAGACGTTATACAGGACAATATTGAGTGGAGCGATCACGAGCTTGCCATAGTAATAGCTGTCCATTGCCACAACAGGGACCTAAAAGGGGGTGGTGGGAGAGAAGGGAGATGGTTTAACTCTAAGAACACTGTGGCAGAGGTTACAGAGCAACTCAGTGTGACTGCAATGCCTCACCAGCAGGACCAGCAGGGCCACCAGAGTCCAGGTGATGAAACTCTTCCACTTGCGTTTCAGGAGCAGCAGGTCAAAGGCAATTGGCAATCTATCAGATAAACCAAGCAGTTAGCTCAAATTCACTGCTTCTATTTTCACCATTCCAATCTGATGCGCTCCTCCAGGGCCACGTACATGGCTATTTATGAACTTTTATTTAACCAGAAAGATCAAATGAAAGCTTATCTCATCTAAGATAATGACCTGGGGAAGGAACCTGAGGGAAGCACCAATGATTACTTTACCGCTGATTTAATAAGTCCACATTCTGTTATACAAAAACAGCCCAGTACGCTCCCCACTCCCTAATTTCACAGTCCACACCCCCCACTGCCCCCACACCCCCAACCACCGGTGCTATCAAAGTAGAGCCAGGTAACGTTCATTAGGACAGCTCATAGACTATATTACATGCATCTATTATGAAAGCTGTGCATGCAATATATGGATTCAACCCTCTAATCTACTGGGTGCAAGTACCACTATGCCTCACATGAAATTATTCAAAAAATGAACCTGCAGCTCTGGTTTCCCAGTTTTCTGAGCCACTGAGTCTCACAGCTGCCCAGTACTCTATCTAAACTGGGCTCTGTAGGCAACACAGATACTACAGCTTCCAGACAGGATCAAATAAAGGGCCCCCTTTGTGTAATTGCCCCCTCCTCTCACCCCAGCAGGGCACTGAATGGCCAGCCAATGATGGCTCCAGCAGCCACGCCCAGCACGGCCACGCTGGGGGTGTCCTGGAACCAGCCCGTCATGGCTACCACTGTGGTGTACATGCAGAAGGTGCTGGGCAGGAAGGCTAAGGACAAATGACACACAAAATCATCATCATCATCAACACCCTTAATATCCTCACCATCATCCTGTATCTTCTCAGCAGACACCCTGATCAGGGCATCTCACCTAAATTTCATTTTATGTCTTGTCCATTTGCACAGCAGGACATTTATGGGCAGCAGTGTAGCGTAGTGGTTAAGGCGCGGGACTCGTACTCAAAAGGTTGCCAGTTCGATTCCCCACTGTGGCACTGCTGCTGTACCCTTGGGCAAGATACTTAACCCACAATTGCCTCAGTAAATATCCAGCTGTATAAATGGATAACACTGTAAAAAAAAAGTGTAACTGTTGTAAGTTGCTCTGGATAAGAGCATCTGCTAAAAATACCAATAACTTATCGGGGAAATACTGGTACTTGTATTTATTTATGCGGTAGCCCAGCAGGAGTTCACTAGGAATGCTGAGGATGAACTAAGAGACTCAGACAGCAGTGCTAGCTTGCATGCTGTAGCCATTAGTAGCTCTGGACTGTTTGTATATGAGAGTAAAATATTTATCAATATTATTAAAAATAATAAGTCTTGCACTTCACAATAAATAAAAATATTAATACAGCACACCTGTACGTGGAATTACCAGTTAAAGCTCATATGGATAAATTCCTCATTTACAGCAAAAAACCCACTAAGCAAACTTGGAGAGGATGAAGTCCCAAACATATAAGACCTCATGCATTCAACAATGTTGTTATTATTATTATTATTATTATTATTATCATCATCATCATCGTCACCACTTTCCATTCCCTCACAAACCTGCTGAAGAGCAGAACATGCCAGCACTCAAGACCAGGAAGGCTAGCATGAGACGTCCTACGTGCAGGCCGAACCTCTTACACACTGCCCTGAGGAGAACACACAGATGCATGCACACATTACTGTCAGCGGCTCCAGCCTGAGCTGAACCTCCAAACAGGAGGAAGATACACAGCCAAAATAGCCCCTTACTGGCCACCCTTTCCTATTCCTCCTGACACATGCAGGAATGCTGTAGGGGAGTGCTCACTTGTAGAAGTACAGCTCACACACGCAGCAGGAGAATGCCAGCACACAGCGCAGGAAGTAAAACACCAGGACCTGCCATACAGAGAGACAGAAACAGGGGCTGATCTCTACCACTCCAGTCACTGCTGCTTCATAAGGCATCGGGTGAATGAGAGAGGATGGCTATGTCTGGACAGGTAGCACACCTTGTTGGTCTGCAGTATCTTGGCATGGAAAGACACAGGCAAGGCGTGCAGCCACAGGTAGGCGTAGGAGCGGATGGCGTAAGCTGGTGAGTACTCCCACGTCTGCATCCCTTTGCCATACAGTAGGTAGTGGGTCTGCCAGAAGAGAGAGGGAGACAGAAAGAATGAATTAGCGTGTGACTGGGGGAGTGATTGAGGGTGTGATGATTGGCTGAGTGCGAAAGGGCACAACTGGGCGACCACTTAGATTAGACTGAGCTGTTGGTCATTACTCATACTCACAGGCTCCCAGTAGTTGAAGGTTTCATCACAGTCGGAGATGTTGCTGAGCAACGCAGCACAAAAGCGGGCTGACACCAGGCATTTGAAGGCAGTGGAGCCCTCAGGTGCCCAAACCTGGCCTGCCTTGCTCGTGACCCTATAGCAGAGGAGAGGCCGGGAGAAGGGGGTAACATGCTTATCTGGGTACAAACCATGCAGCCGGGAACAAAGCAGAGAGAGCAGAGTGAGAGTGCAATATGAAACTGCACACAGTCTTGTTTAATACCCGTTACCCTCATAACTGTCAACAGAATATTACACTTCGCCCCAAGTGTAAGATTTGCCAATTCCTTACCTGCTGTAGTGTCAGACCTTTTTGCACTGGTTTGTTTACCTTGGGGTGCAGTGATTGAAACGAGCAGATAAGGATAAGAACGCCTTATGATATTGAGTATGCGCGGTGAGCAATGTGCAAATTCGGTGCGACATCTTTCAGAAGTTACTCTGGGCACTGACACGTACGCTCGCGCTGTCTCGCAGTTAGCTAATCCGCGTTAGGGTATCTACGACACAAAGACTGTTTCCAAATTGTAGCATTATAAACATAAACCTTCACTGAATCAACCTCATCAGCTGCAGGGTGGACACAGGCTAGCAAGCCTTCTGAAATAAGTATAGCGAGTCAACGACAAATTAGCTATTAAGTAAATTAAATTGTACTAGGTATTATCAGAAACGGGCATTCTGTCCGATTAGCTAGGCACCCTCCAACAGGTAGACGAATGCGACAGGTTAGCCAGCCTGACCAAAAGTGTTTATCCAGCTATCTAGTTAGCCAGTCAATAATAGTCTGGGATGAATACACCGACGTAGCTAAAACCGCTAACTACTGAGTAGCAGCTACGTGTCGCTAACGTAATGGAAGGCAGGACAACAACGCCTAACAAGCCAGCAAGCCGGGTAGCCAGCTCATACAGGCCTGCTAAATTGTAAACGAGAGATGCAACACAATATAATGCATTATCTAGATAAGAATATTCCATGACAGATATCATTCATTTACTCACCACTTGGTCAAATGCTTCTTTTGATTAAGCTAGCTAGACTAGCGAATTCAGACAGACAGACACATCTAACGTTAGCTAGCTGACAAGGTAGCAGGGCGCTATGACATATAAACGCAAATTCTGACTAATCGCAGAACTCACTCATTCCGTATTTCCGAGATTTTACTGTCCTCGATCCCCTTATCCTCTTTCGTTATACGGGTGTCAGAGGCAATGCTGAGGTTCACGTTATTCGTGTCTTGTTTGCTTCCTCGTCTGTTCCGCTGCCGGGGTCCCCTCGTCGCCATTTCTACTACTGGCAAATCGTGACCACTTTGGTTTTGACATTCCTGCACTCGGCTGTAGATGGCCATATTTAGTGATGGCAAGTCAAACTCGGTTAACATGTTGAAATTGTCACATTTTTTATGGCTGCGAATGAGGCGACAGAAACATTTTAACTAGCCAAATATAAGTTAAAACTGTGCTGCAGTATAGTTGACACAACAGACATGTGTCGTGAACGGCACAAAATTAGGGTTAGGGTTAGGGTTAATTAATTATTGTGGGCAGTTGTTCCCATGCATTATATCTTGCGGTTTGGAAAAAAACTCGGCAACTTTCAGCATCAGAATCTTTAATCGGTTAGTCGTTACAAATTTACACACACCTTGGCAAATTTAAAACCATGGGAAAGCAAATGTTTTGCATACATTAAATCAGTCAATTTAATTCTTTGTTTACATTCAGCTTTGAAAACTGTTGACATATGCAGTTGTTCCCTTCTTCAAGTACTTAATAAAGCAGAAGATGTATAATCTTAACATTAATATGGAAAATCATATCTTAAGGCTAGTTTAAAGTTTGGAGTTTGATTTAAAAAAATATGAATAGAAAAAAATCAACAATTTTTCAGGAGCTACTTACAACATAAACAATCAAATAAGACATTTCACTCTTCATGCTTCACAAAACCCAGAAATGATAAAGTTAAAAGTAACTAAAGTAAAACATCTTATTTAGCAGTCACTTGTCCTTTGGCAGCTATAAAACTGGTCACATCAGTGTAATTGGGCCACAGAGGTGGACACTAGACTGAGAGACATGACAGATTAATCAGCAACCTCTGTCACACTTTCTCAAGCCTGTCCCCGGGAGAACATTTATGCTGGGTCTCATTCCAGCTGAGCTCTCAATCAATTAGGTTTGACCCAGCTATTAATGGAATACTTATCTTGATTTCACATCTCTTCTATGTAGACATGTCTGCTTTAAATACTTGAAATGAACGAAGGAAAAAAGAAAGAAATCAGCTGTTTTTATGCTAACATAAACATAAAGGTGTTTGTTTCACATATTTTTGTGACTACCCACTGGCGTAAATATCGACGGTGCAACCGGTGCCCAGAAGCTGTCAGGGGCCCATGTAGGAAGGCAATTTTTTGCTGTTTTACTATTGTAGGCAGGCCCTCTCGTGCATTGACCGTTTCACACAGTCTTCAAAGTAACCATTCAACAATATCACTAAAATTACTTGTAATTGTGATAGCTATATATACCACCTTCCCACCTTGGGTTTTGAGTCATAGCCTATTTTTATGTATTTTTATTTGTCCTTATTGAAATGTTTGTGTGTGTCCATGCGTGTGTGTGCGCACAAGCGTGCGCTTGTGTTTGGGGTGGGGGGCAAGAAAAAATATTTGCACCAGGGCCAATCACAATTGTTACGCTACAGTGACTACCCCAAATGTTGTGCCTTTATTGCAATGTGGCCCTACTGAACAACTTATTACTTTAAATAAATGAAGACTGATTCAGGGAATATAAAGCATTTACAGAAACATCTTACTTCTATCCTTCTGTCAGACCAGATATGTTTCCAACAAACCCCTATCTGTTAGAACTACAAGGAATGGATACTAAGGTGATGTCACATCAACATCAGTATTCAAATAACAGCTCAGTAAAACCTTATCAATCCAACCTTAGGTTAAAAAACTGCACACACAGTGGATCCCTGGAACTCCAGACATACTGCTCACATCACATCAAGACAGAGCCAAGTAAACCTTTACAAAGAGACATTAAATAGAAAATCTATGGCAATATTATGGCTTATTGTCATCCTGTCTGTTGTAGGATTACATCAGTTTACAAAGCACCATTCGAACACAGTGTGTATATTAGGACAGAGGTAAAAGTGCACATAAAGACAAATTTACTCACATACGGATGCACAACTTCATTCAGATCTAGCCACAAGAACATATGTTTCTGAAGACAGATGCACTCAACCAATTGAATACTGCAGCATGTTTCAGGATGTGATACTTCTCCCATGAGCATAATGGGTGACCCATCTTGAAGTGTATTTTGTTGCTTCAAAGCCTTCTAAAGAAAGCTGACAACATTTACAACACAACCACTACTGAAAGACACAGTGAATATATTAATTAATGTAAATTACAACAACAGAGAGAACACTCTCAAAATAATTAAAAAAGCTTATCTCCATTTTGGATAGTATGCAGCAGCACACAGACTTTCAAAAGTGCAAGCATTTCAATAGTCAAAACAGAGAATACAGGTCTCCAAATATGACAATATAAGGAACACATTAGTGGAGGTCTATCAGTTAAATATCTATTTGGAAAATGCTGGAATGGATCATGTAAGATGAGTTGGATAAGAC